CCCTTTTCTTGCAGCAGCCCTACCTTACATGCACTCAAGCCCAACACAGGCCCCCATCCTGAGTGCCAATGGGCTGGGTTAGAGGCCATCCCTCCCAGCCACTTTAGCAGCTCCCCCAGCTTTGCCTCCTTTTGCACACATAGGTATTTAAGGATCTGCCTGTGTAGATGTACCCTAACTTCATTTTTTGAAAGCAATGCATTTAGGAAAAAAAAGGCAACCCAGACCTTATGAAAAGAAAATGTCCCAGCTATTGCATGCAGTTGTGGCTTGGTGATGAGTTACATGTGTGATTTATGCCAAAAGCTACCAAATACTCAATCCTGCTAACAGGAACAGGAGAGTAGCTGGAGACAGTCACCTCTTGGGTGATCAGCTAAAAGCATGATGCCAGACCTGTCTTTTCCTGAAGTTTCACCTACATCCATCTACCTCAGCAGCTTTTTGGGAATGTTGCCTTCAGACTACAGGCAGCATCACAAGCTCTGTGCTTTCTCAGAGCAGGGCCAGGTTAACTCCTGGTGTGCCTTTGCGCTGCTTTGGGCAACTAGTGATATACGCTGGGTTCACTGAACTGAGAGGGTGGCAGGAGGACCCTTGCTGCTTCTTGGTGCCTTCCCTGGTTTGGTGCCTTCTGCTTAATATTCTCTGTCACACTATGGAGCAAAAAGAAGATTAGGTTATTAGACAAGGCTGCTCCACAGTGGGAAGAAATGAGGTTGCTATGTGTTGGTTCAGGTCCGCTGTTGTGACTAGCATTAGTTCATACCTGTGCTATGCTGAAAAAACAAAACTTTAATGAGATTAACTCTGGCCTTGCTATGGTAGCATGGAGCTGAGAGTCATGTGTAAAACACAGGTAAAGCATAAAGGGTAAATGTCCCCTATGAGCTTCTAGGAGCTTGTGTTAGCTGGAGAATCTCACTTTTTCTTACCTCTCATGAAGATTAACTCTTCATTTGGTGTTTTGAGATTTGAACACATTTTAACATGGTGCTTTTTCAACGACAACAAAAAAAACCAATGTATTTGTTCCTACCAGGAAACTTTACAAGCGTTACGCTTTCCTGCGCTGTGAAGAAGAACGGGAACAGTTTCTGTATCACCTGCTCTCACTCAATGCTGTGGATTACTTCTGCTTCACAAGCGTCTTCACCACAATCAGTGAGTTGGAGAATCGATTCTTTTCCCCCTGAATAAAAATTGTTTGCTGTCATGATTTGTAAGAGATGATGTCGCTGTTGCCGGTGGCTGAGTGGCTGAGCCCTTATCTGGAAACCTTGGTTGTTGCTGCTGGGCTTGTGGGTGCTGAGGGTTGCTCTGGGAAACCAGCTGGAGAGCCAAGGTTGTGTGGGAGTGCTCTGGCAAGCTGCATTGCACAAAGGAGAGTAATCAGCAGTGAGTGCCACTGTAGCACTTGATTTTCCTCACCGAGTTGTGTAGTCTCTTTCATCTTTCTTCTCAGACAAGTCCTCTACATCCTAATGCTTCTTTCTGGCCTTCACTAAGTGTGCATCCTAACAGCCTGCTCTCTGCAGATTGAGAAGGAGATGGCAGTCTTGGAGGATGAAATGCAAGGCACTTTGTGCTCTGCTGTATATTTAAAATCTCCTTTTGCCTCTCCTTAAGTGCCAGAAAGACTCCCTCTCCCTTCCTCTCTTGTAAGAAGGACAGCAAAGATTGGATGAAAATCTGAAAATTAATCTTTGTCTCTCCAGCACTGGGCAATGTGGAGAAGGCAGGACCCCATGAGATGACCTAATTATTTGGATTCCCCTTGGCAGTCCTTAGTCTTCATTTCCCTGCCTGTTCAGAGTGAAGTGAAGCAAGTTTTACGTGGCTGTCAAAACAGGCACTCATTCTACTTTTTCGCCTCTTAAAGCAATAAATCCCCTCAGAACTAGCACAGCGCAAAGAGATTTATTCATCCTTGATTACCTTATTTCTGCGGGGCATCCAGCTTGGCAGCTTTCCCTGATAGCACAAAGCACTTGGAATTTGAGGGTATTTTATTGAAGTGCAGTATCACAGAATCACAGCATGGTCGGAGTTGGAAGGGACCTCTGAAGATCATCCAGTCCAACCCCCCTGCTAAAGCAGGATCACCTAGAGTAGGTCACACAGGAGCGTGTCCAGGCGGGTTTTGAACATCTCCAGAGAAGGAGACTCCACAACCTCTCTGGGCAGTCAGTTCCAGTGCTCTGTTACCCTCTGTTACCCGTATGTTTAAGCTAAACCACCTGTGTTCCAGCTTGTGACCATTGCCCCTTGTCCTGTTGTTGGGCACAATCAAGAAGAGTGTGGTACCATCCTCCTGACACCTGCCCTTTAGATATTTATAAGCATTAATGAGATCCCCCCTCAGTTTCCTCCAGACTAAACAGACCCAGCTCTCTCAGGCTTTCCTCGTATCTTGGTGTGGCACACCAAAAGTAAAAATGTTACCCTGTCAAAAAGGCAGCTTGTGAAACATCAGGAGAGGGAGACTTGCCGCAAATCCAAATTGGGGTGGGTGGCAGGCTTTATCTTGAGCAGGTATGAGTGGTGCAAATTTAAAAGTAAATAACAATAATGGTAATAATTATTATTATTATTATAGTGGTAATAATATACATGGTTTTTAATGGGGTATTGTCCACAGAGACACAGCAGCCTTGAGACTTTGGCGATACCGTTGCTGACATCTCTGACATCGCTTCCCCCGTAACCTTCCATGTGCCACCTGTACCC